AACAATCGTCCGGGAAGGTCTTTTTGTTTCATGGTTGAAGTGGGCCGTCATAGCTAGAAGGCTGGCGCAGTGGTTTCTCAGTCTTTTAAGAATCTGTTTTGTAGTGACCCCTCTCCACCTATCCAGGAGCTCTGAACTTCCCTCTACTCACATATTTAATACTCCAGGGAGAACTGGTGGCACGACTCCTTGAAATCTTTAATCTTGGTGTGTGTCCATACTCATGTCCATGTGTGTTCATGACACTATTTTCCTAGATGGCATAGAGTAGTGGATTTGTTTGAGGATGGGTGGAGCCAAGAGACATGACCCTGAAATTCCCCTTTACATAAGGAAGTCTTCTGGAACCAAGTCAAGGCAGTCCCCTTCATTTGAGAATTGAAAAATCTTTGAAAGTGTTATAGCATCTTTTTAAAAATGATTACAGCCTGTCCAGTGTGCTCAGTAGTTGAGAATCCATCCATGAACCAGGAGATTATGGTTCAATTCTCAGTCAGAGCACATATTCGGGTAGTGGGCTTAATCCCAAGTAGGAGGTATGCAAGAGGCAACTGATCCATGATTCTCTCATTGTTTATGTTTCTATCTCCCTCTATCTCTTCTTTTCTCTCTCAAAATCATTTTTTTTTTAAAAAGATTACAGTCATATTTATTTCAGAAGCCTTTCTTTTAAAGGAATATTTGGCACATGGAATTTACAAAATATTTTTATTATTACAAAATATTTTTATTATACCACCCATTTTTGACACGAAAGATTCTTCTTTTCACACCTTAATGACTGTTGGATCATTTATTTTGAGAAGTTTGTGTATGCCGGGTTCATATCTCTGGTGGTGAAATAAGTTTATCAGGATCTCAGAGAACATGGTCAATGGACATAGATATTATAGGTTACAAAATAAAGCCTCCTTACTAAGCATTGGAAGATGTATTCCTTGGCCTGTGCACCTAGTCTAAGCTGGCCTGGAAATCACTGAGCAGTCATACTCAGATCAGTCCTGTAGATGCTCCAAGGACAAATAAACACTCAAATTTGGACAAAGTCCACCCTATGACTGATAACACGTGGTATTCATAGATGACCCTCTCAGACAATTGCTTGAACTCAGCCACAGCCAATATCATAACAGCTACAGATGAAAACGTGAGGAGTGATCATATTTTAGGGTGACTTCAATGGGATAGAATGACTGAGATTTTTATTTTGATTAATTACTTATTTTATACTATCCCTTCAAAGAGACCTTTTCTTTTATTGGGAGCCTAGAAAAAAATATTTGGGTAGTTAGGCTAAAAATAGACAGTGAATCTTCCCATCTAAAAGCTATGGAATTCCCAATGCAATGCGAAACTAAGCAGGAATTGGCGAGGGCAGCAGAAAAGAGGGATTGAATGTAACATTTTATTGTACGTCATGAAATCTGTATATGGTAGGGTACTTTTTTCCAAAGGTTCTGTTGCAATTGAGTGCTGATGCCTATCAATTGACATAATAATCCCTCCCACAACCAGTGGCCTCCACCTTTCCTTAGAAGCCTCCTGACACATAAAGGAGATGTGAGCGCTGTTCAAGGTCCATGTCAGAGTCCTCTTTCAGTTGGAGATTCAGTTCCATCAGGTCACTGAACTTGTAAGTCCTTGTAAAAAACCTTCCTGAATTTGTATTCTCCTCTTTACCATCAGCCTTTCTTCTGCAGCTACATCCTGGTCACTCCCTGGGAATAAATATAAACACTGGTTTCTAGCCTGAAAGACCACATTACAACCTAGGACTCAACCACCCTTTTTGCCTTTAGTTTTACTAAGTACTGCATCCAAGAGTGCCATGCTGTTACTGTGGCCAACATCAGTTGATGCTTCTTATTGGTGATGTCTATTTATACAAAGTGACGTCTTATATGCATATCTGTGTAACCCATGGGCATAGACAATAGTGTGGAAGGCTTGGTTGGGGGAGTGGGGAGAGTGTAGGGAAGGGAGAGAGGGTCCATGGGGGAACAAAAAGAGACAATTGTAATACTTTCAACCATAAGAATACATTAAAAAAAAAAAAAAAAAAAAAAAAAAAAAAAAAGAAAGAAAGAAAGAAAAAGAAAAAAAAAAAAAAAAACAGCCGAAACCGGTTTGGCTCAGTGGTAGAGCGTCGGTCTGCGGACTGAAAGGTCCCGGGTTCGATTCCGGTCAGGGCATGTACCTGGGTTGCGGGCACATCCCGGTAGGAGGTGTGCAAGAGGCAGCTGGTCAATGTTTCTCTCTCATCGACGTTTCTAGCTCTCTATCTCTCTCCCTTCCTCTCTGTAAAATATCAATAAAATATATTAAAAAAAAACAAAAAAAAAAACACACACACAAAGTGAATTCATTGCTGGCTCTATTAATCCTACAAAGCCCATGAATCCTTAATGCTCAGTGTTCTTAGAATGAGAACAGAATATTTGTTCCTTCTCAAATAGAACTTCTCACTAAGCTTCAGATGAGCTCCTTTTAGATAACATGCCTTCTATCTTAGATGATTTATTCACTTTCATGTTCCCTGGAATTTATTGTAGAGGTTGATGTGAAAACTTACAGTTTGAGTTCTAATATAATCTCCTGGATGGAATTAATAAATAAAAGATGGTTACTATTGTCAACAGAAGGATGAGGCTTTCTCACTTTCATCTCTGTATCTTCACCAAACTTCCTATCAAACATCCCTAGGGCTTGATGATGTAAAATATTTTCTGTAAACTCCAAAGCTTTTACCGTTGCTTCAGTACCCCAAGCCTCCATGTTGCTTTTTTTGGTTTTCTTGTCAGAAATAATCTTACTCCATTTCTGTTTATTCAACTAACCTTCCTTCCAGCGAATAGAAGAAGCATCTCCCTCTATGGATTTAGTAGGAATATATTCTCAATATTTATGACTTGCAAGTAGTACCAGAAATATGTCCCTGATATCTATTGGGGTTTTGTTTTTGGCTTAGTCTCACCTCTGTTGCAGTGATTGGAAATGCAGTATCACTCTGTGAAATGCAGTGTTTATTGTCATCTTGTGTATTATTCAAAGTGCAAAATTGCCTCTTGAAAGTTAATGATGAAACTGTAAAAACAGGTCCAATTTTTGTACTTTGCCTGCTTGGCTAGACTCGGGCTAATCTAAACTAATGCTCTTTCAGAGATGAGGAATCTGGAGGCCACTTGAAGTAGCCTGACTATAATCAAGAAGAAAGCAGGGGCCAAATGGCATTAGGCAGCGTGATTAGAAAGGGTGGCATTAGGCTGATGCAGGACAGTGCCCAGTTCTGACACTTCAGTGTATAACTTTGGGCCAGTATTTCATTGCTCTGTGCCTCAGTTTCCTCATCTGCAATGGGGCTAACAATAGTGCAGTAGCACAACTCTTAAGGATTGTAGTAAGGTAATCATAGTAAAGCACTTAGAATCATCTGTAGCTGTCAGCATTATTGTAATTATTTTGACTATTTTTAATACATGCAGGACTTATGGAAGGAGTGTGTTATTTTTTTTAATGTTTTGTGTGATTATGTAGTCATCTCATCTTTGTATAGGCATTACTTCCTTTATGTCCTTTGCATTACTTACTGAGACGTTAAGCAATTAGTATTAAAGGTGGGCGCAGCAGAAGAGCAAAGATACTGATCGTAGTTCAGTGAGCCTCATTGTGTGCTGGGCCCTGAAGTGTAGGTACTTTATGTACACACCCCTCTATATGCCCGCCATCTATATCTACTGAAAACCTGCAGAGGAGGTTATTTCCAGTAATGCAAGTGTAGCCTCGTCATCATCATAATCTCCTTCGTAGCTGGAGAGTACCATGAGCCCTGGCTCTGGTGGCAAAAAGCCCTGAGAGAATCCCTTCCATCTGCAAAGCGAGCCTGGGCTGCTGGTATCTGTGTAGCCTACTCCTATGGACAACAGGGAGCTGGCCGTGGGTGGGAATGAGGGGAAGGAGGCAGATACAGGGCAAGACAAACAGCGCAAATGAAAAATAATATACATCAGTTCACAAATTATTAAAACCTATTTAGGTATTGCTTACTTCTTTTTGGAATAGTACATCATATAGAAAAGCTTTGTAAATATCCAAATAGAAATAATTTGTAACAATAAGCATTCACACAGAAAAGTTATTTTCTTTCTCGCCTTGCTTTATTTATCTAGAGACTAAGTAAATTGTATTCACCATGCACTAATAGCCATCAGAGTAAGGTAAAGTATTTAATCACAAAAATCGCAATCACTTTAGTGTTCTTTGATTTCTGTGCGTAGGGTACTTAATAATTATAAAAGCAGTGATGGAAGTCATAAAAGCTGCAGGGTATGGGGATGCTTGAGATGGGTACTGGAGAACAGCATCCACTACGTTAGCTCTGTGTACATATGTGTGCAAGTATGTGTGCATAGGCACACACAGTCCTATACCCACCCTCACGCACACAGAATCTCTGCAGACCGCTATAACCTTTCAGGTGTATATTTATGCGTGTGTGTGCATATGCATATATATACACATACATGTTTATTTCATATATGATATCCTTTTAAATCTTTCCACAACTTTATACAAAAGGAAAGTAAGGCTCAAAGGAGTCAAACCACTTGTTCACAATCACAGCAAGAGGCAAAGCTGGGGTGTAGCCCCAACTGCCACCCCCTCAGGTAGCATCCTTTTTGTAAGATGTCTAAACAGAGCTGAAACCGGGTTTGGCTTAGTGGATAGAGCATCAGCCTTTGGACTGAAAGGTCCCAGGTTCGATTCCGGTCAGGGGCATGTATCTTGGTTGCAGACACATCCCCAGTGGGAGGTGTGCAGGAGGCAGCTGGTCCATGTTTCTCTCTCATCCGTGTTTCCAACTCTCTATCCCTCTCCCTTCCTCTCTGTAAAAAATCAATTTTATATATATATATATATATTTTTTTTTTTTAAAGATGCCCAAACATAGATAATTTTGGAACAGCGGACCTTTCCAGTGACCTTTTGCCTTTCTCTTCCAGAACCTCCAGGCAAGGACTTCGGCCCCACGCTGGGCCTGAAGAAGTCCAGCTCACTGGAGAGCCTGCAGACGGCCGTGGCCGAGGTGCGCAAGAACGAGCTGCCCTTCCACCGGCCCCGGCCGCACATGGTCCGCGGCCGCGGCTGCAACGAGAGCTTCCGCGCGGCCATCGACAAGTCCTACGACGGCCCCGAGGACCTGGACGCCGGTAGGGCCGCCTGCCTCCCTCCTGCCCTGGCTCCCTCCTCCCGCTGTCACCCGCCAGAGTGTGTGCTTCATTCACTGCGGAGAAAACTGCTTTGAGGATCCCAATTATAGTTTGCATATTAAAAGTAATTCGTTTCCCCCGATGTGTTTTGCCCTTTGGCTTAACGAACATGGGATTGCAGAAGGCAACGTGCAATTTATTCTACTGCGCAGATGCGAGAGAAACGGTCGCTGTCACTTTCCAGCGAGGACCGGCTGTCATTCCTCCCCGAGGGTGGGAGCACTCAAGTCTACGTGCGTTTCTTGACATTCTCATTGGAGCCGTTAGAAGCAGCATCCACCCCAGGACCGACCGCATTTTTTTTTTTTTTTAATTAGGATTGATTATGGTATCACATAATTGTCCTCATCCCCCCATTCCCATCCCAACCCCTCCCTACATATGCCCCCACCCCCCTGATGTCCATGGCCACTGGCTAGACCCCTATGCATGCACACAAGTCCTTTGGTTGATCTCTCCCCCGTACCCCTCCTCTCCCCTACTTTCCCTCTGAGGTTTGAGAGTCTGATCGCTGCTTCTCTTTCTCTGGGTCTGTTTTTGTTCATCAGTTTATGTTGTTCATTATTTCCTCTAGATGTGTGAGATCATGTGATCCAAGAAATACCCTTGTAAGAACCTAAACTGAGACAGGCCATTATGGTTATGCTGAGAGGCAAAGGAATCAGTCTGTAGTGAGTTCCTTTCTGCCGACCGCATTAATGGGGTGGAAGACAATGGGTTATCTTGTGCTCAAAAACTTCTCCTGGAAATACACCCCCACCCCCCCTGCTTATTGCCCAGCATGTGCGCTTTCTGAGCTGATCCAGTTTAGCAAGCTGGAGTTCAGAGAGATCCGTGCTCTCCCATGCATCAGACCTTCCCTGCTCATCTCCCACTCCCTGCACTAAACCAGATTGAGGTAGCTGTGTCTTCAAAGGGTACAAGTAGCCCCTGGGAAGGGGAGACCTGCAGAGCGCTCTTATTCACTCCTCTGTGTTTTGCATTTTAACTTTTCTTGGGATGCTAACACGGGGTGCCCCTGACCGTGTGTGTGTACATATTTTTCCTCTGCACAGATGGGTTGTCCGATAGGAGCTCTCACTCCGGCCACGGAGCCCTCAACTGTGACTCGGCCCCTCCGGGGAGCTCTGAGCAGGAGGACCTGGAGAATAAAGTCAGGAAAGCCAAAAAGACAAAAGAGAAGGAGAAGAAGAAGGAGAAGGGCAAAGCAAAAGGCAAGGAGAAGAAGCAGAAGGAGGAGAGCGAAGATCCAGAAAAGAAGATCAAGAGGAAGGGGCTTGGTGCCATGCTGAGGTAGGGACTTGCTTGGAAGGCTAACTTGGTTTTGGTTTTTATTTGTTCGTTTGTTCGTATCCCATGGTGCAATCACCCATTTGTGTGCATTCAGCAGAATGAGTACAACTTTGAGAACGCGCTTGCTTGCTCCTTTTCTGCGGACGCAGAAGGAGACTTCCTGAGTGGCTTAGAAACTCGTGGTGATGACAGGAAGCAATTCTATATCTGCTGTCAAAGACGTGGGCAATTCCCGGAGCCCTTGGTACCAAAGTGCTATGCGGATAAATTAAATGTGAGTCCTAACTGTGACCTTTAGGACAATCTCTTTGAATCAAAGAAGACTGACCAGATGAACCACACCCCCCTCTCTACTCCCATGAGTCTAGGTGTGTATAACCGGGCATGTGGGCACATTGGCTGCCATTTACAGAGGCTCTGAGGTCCAGTGGAGGTGTGTGTCACTGGGTTCCGAATCAGATGACACTGGTCTGAACTCATGCAATAGCTGCTGGGCTTCACACATACTTCTTACTGCCCTGAGCCTGAGTTTCCCCACTTTCAGAGGCCAACATACCTGTTCTCCTGGCACGTGGGGGTGTGAGACAAGGTCTCATGTGCAAATGCTCTGTTGACTAGGCATGGTCGCAGGTCCATGACACCGTCTGCGTTTGGGTTGGTGTCAGGACCACACCTGCTTCTCAGTCTGCAGCCAAGGAATATATATATGTATATATTCCTTGAATATATATATTCAATCCTTTATATATAACAATATATTCAATTGTTCATATGTGTGAATGCCACATCCATTTGAAGCTAGGGTTCAGGATCTGGAAAAGGGGCCGATGCACAAATGAAGACACTAGTCAAGAAATATGAATTTAGAAGGCATGGAGGGCCAGGTGGAAAACTTCCCTCTAGTGGAGAAGCTCTCTGACTTCTGGGTCCCATTTGCTTTTATTCACATTTCCCCTTTAGGAATGCAAACAGGCAAATCAAAGGTAAAGTTTGGTAAACAATAAAAGGATTATGAGGTTAAGAGATTGCCTTGAGCCATTTGGCCAACAGCAGGGCAATATCATGCTGATTTTCAGCCCTGCTGAATACCATTGCTATGCTAACTACTGTTGGTCTTAGCCTCTGGCATATATGGAAAATAATGCAATAATTAAATAATAACAATAATAAACTCTGTGTTTCACACACTCATAAACTCCTATATATGACCTTTAGGGGATAGAAATAATACTGATACCAGTAGACAGATCTCTCAAAGATCAAGAAAATGGATTCTCTCTCTCTAAAGAACCTCTAGAAAAGAATACAGACCTGCCAACCCCTTAATTTCAGCCCGTTTTTGTTGTTTAAGCCACCACATTTGCCACACTTTTTTACAGCATCAATAGGACACTAATATAATTGTCATCATAATTATTACTATTTATTTAATGTAATAGTAATTCATAAGGAAAAAAATTCTATAAAAGCTTAACTAGAGTTGTCTATAAATATAAAAAAAAAAAAAAACTGTCAGAGCTTCCCATTTTCTAGAATATTACTACATTAAGCCTTAACTTGATATTTTACTTCAGATGATTGGATTCAGCAGGTTCATACGCCATTGCCCATAACATAGAGCCAGCTTCTCTTGTTCAATGTGTGCTATATTTTCTTCAGTTAGAAATCACAGGGCCTCCTGGATCCTTTAGACATCTAGCAACTCAGGGTTTGTGCCTTTCTACTATTTCAGCAAAATTAAGACCTGAAAAGCGGTGTTTGAGTTTATCTCTGGTATAAAAATAGCAACTGTTTTCCATAGCCTTTCACATCAGAGTTTGTGAGCATATTGGAGCTCCTGCTACATGCACATTTTCAACAAAGAACACAAAAGCTGTTACCATTAGCCAAAAGATTTCGCCTTCATTCTCATCTGTTGCTCAGATGCTATTGACTTAGTTTCTTTCTTATTTAAAAAAGATTGATTGCTTTAAGGTTCCTAGGAGTTAGACGTGTGGTTTAAATATGTATTATTTTTTCCATTAGCTTTTTTCACGGAAGCTTTCCTGAACCCAAGGCTTTATTGTAGGTTGTGTACTTGTATCATGTATGGTGGCACCTGGCCACGGGCCCAAGTGAGGACTGAAATTCTGCTTCCTTCTCCTCACCACGCCCTGCATCATGGAAGTGCAAATATGTTGGCTGTGGCTATGCTTGTAAAGACTTTGTGTTGTGTGCTTTTCCGACATTAGCTGATCCACTCCTGTTGGTGATATATAGTGTAGCTGATTAATTAATTCGATGTCCTCCTGATCCTTTTGAAAAATTGTGGCGGGTTTCATTAATTCATATCTTCGCATGTGTTGTCTGGGCCCAAGGTGCTTACTCTGTCCTGATTTATGAATGACCTTGCGGATTCAACCATGGCTTACAGAAGCCATAAATTATCATGGAAAAATAGGCAGGGCTGGAACCCACCCATGTTGATAGTTTCCTTGTATCCTGTTTGCCTGCTGTTGAAAGAGAACAGTTAGGATTTCAAACCCCTTAAATTCCTCCATTATGCACTTGGTTTCCTTTAGGCCTATTGTACTCTTTATGGCACTACCCTGTGGCCTGTGGCTCTTTGTAGCCAAAGAGTGAATGAAGCTCAAACCTCTCAATAGACCCGCCCATTGCTATCAGCCTTAAGCCAACTTCCTGGGGTCTAGCAGATATTTCCTAAGCACTGAAGAGAAATATCCTTTGGCTAACAAAATCTTGCCTATCTAGAATGAAAAACCCAGGAATTAGTATCTGATTTCTCAATTTATAACCTTGTTGATCTTTATATTCTTTAAAGTGAATTCTGCCATAGATTTGTGTTTAAAATCCATTCTTTTATATCATAGCTGCTGTATTCTCCTCTTCAACTTATAGGCCACTCACTTCAAAAGCCTTTGAATTGTCAACTGGTTTGGGATCCTGAATGGAAAGTCTTGATATTGTTGGTCAAGTACCTTTTTCTGTATATTTTTGTGTGATTTTGTTCTCAAAGGAATTGTGCCCACTGAACTCCATTTTAATGGATTAGCAAAGAACAAAGTGTAAAATGTGCCAATAGAAAGTTCATCTCTGCTTTTAAATTTTGTTTACCCTTATTTATTTGATAAATAACATATATAGAATACCTACTCATTGCCAAGCACATTAATAATTATTCTTCAGCTGTTCAACTCCATTAAATGCCTGCTTTACATCAGACACTGTTTTAGACACTGGGCATAAACAATGAAATCCCCACTTTTATGGTATATTTTTTGTTAAGGTGAAGGAAGGAGAAATCAGACTTTTTAATTTCTTGAATTTAAAACAAAAATAAGGAAAATATTGCATAACCATGAAAACTATTTATAGCAAGGCATTTCCCAGGAAGTGGTGAGCCATTTGCCTAGGAGACCTCTGGGAGAAAGCAGCCCCTGTCCGCCCAGGGGGATTAGCAGTTATTTGCCACAGCTCTTTCAAGTGATGGGGAGAGAGTCAACAATTAACTCAAAATAGTTGAGATGATTTCAGATTGTAGTAGGTGCTATGAAGAAGGTAAGAAGTCAGAAGGGCAGCGTTATCTCACCCTTTGTAACTGTCTTAGCAGGTAACAGTGTGCATCTCCAGGCCACACTGAATTTTTAGCAGATATGTTATCAGAACTTTGCACACTGTAGTACTGATGCCAAGTCACTGTATGCTTGCTTTTTTAAAAAACTGTCTGCTACATATTAGTATGGGGTGGTTATTTTTAAACCAGCTTCACATGAAGCCATTATAAAAAGCTAAGTATAAAAATGGTCTCTGTTTCAATATAAAAGCCCTTTTATACCTGAAGTAAATGTTCTAAAGAAATGTGGTCTTTAATCTAAATAGTGAACTTGTTTTGCAGCTATTTGAATCAACTTTATTCCTCCTAACCAATCAGTTGAATATTCTTTACTGTTACTTCTTAACTGAGCCAATGTATGTATGCCTAAAGGTTCAGGTTCTGCAGAGCAAAACCTAAATCATGAGCCCTGAAATCTAAATCAAACACCATGAAAAAGGTGTTTTTAAAAATCTAGAGGCATCAACTTTTTATTTCTAAACTTTTCAAATCTAAAGCATCTATGTTCATTTGATTTATACTAAAATATACTATATATCTTATTGAAATTAGGGCAAATCTATATAATGGCACTGTACTGTGAGTTTTTAAAAAGAACAGGCATACACATACATACACTCATTCTCACCCTCCTCTTACCCCTCCTCCACCACCACAAATAACAGCACAGATATCACCACTGCCAAATTCATACCTAACCTTGTTAAATATCTGTCCCTTATGAGCTCTGAGTACTTTACTCTCCAGAATTTTGTTAATCCCTTTGAGTTTCAGTCTACTCATTAGTAAATTGGGGATAATAACACATCCTCTCCAAGTTCATTGTGATGTTTAAGTTCAACAACTTATGTAAAGCAAGCTGTTAGCCTGACTTGCTAGGCTATACTTCTTGTCTCTTTCCCCAGGGCCCCACCCAGACGGCAAAAAATCAGTTACTGCCTTTGACTTGACTGACGCCCAATTAAATTTTCATTTCAATTTTCCCTCCTCTAATCACTATTTTGTATTTCAGATGAGCATGCTTTTTTTTTTCTTTAGCCTGGACAATTTTGCATAGCAAACTATAATAAGTAATGACAGGTAAAATCATTCAATCATTTATACTTTATAAGCTTTGCCTACCCCTTTCTCAATGTAACCGTGAACTGCTTTCAAAGGTTATCTAATCATTTGATGGTGCTGAGTAGAGATAGAAAATGAACTCAAATAGAGAAACAGGTGGGGGGGGGAGGGTTGTGGGACTTTTTTTTTCCCCCCGTGTGTGTGTGTGTGTGTGTGTGTGTTTTCTTTATGCATTTCAGATCAGAATGTATAGATGGGCTTTGGACTTGAGGTTCTTAATGCATGGCTCATAATTATTTCATGGGACTGCCTTGGAAATTGTTTT